CTGAGCAAACGCATCGCGATTCAGGGTGTAGCACCGAATTCTATGACAGGGGATTTTGAACAAAATAAAATCTAAATTTAATCTGCTAAACATGTTTGCAACCTTCTTTTGAATGAATGAGAAAAGCGAGAAAAATATCAAAAACGTGATGGAACTCCCTACAATAGGCCTAGAGGCCTCGCACCCCATGTCCTCCTTTTGATCTTTTATAATTGATCGGTCTTTTGAAATAGACCTTGGATTATTGAGAAAGCATTGAGGACAGAGGTCAGAAAAAGAGAGGAAAACAGTTCTGGGGGAAAATAAGTAGACCTACATGTAGGCCTAATGTAATCGTCGTAGGAGCCCTACGTACAAGTAGACCTAAAACCAGGAGGCCCGATCAGGACTACATTATAAAAGCCTCAGAAAGGACCGCTGAAGGGCAGCCTAAAGGAATGGGCCTACATGTAAACCAGTCTTGTCTTATTAATTTTCTCTGTCATAAGTCACTTGGCGAAAATGAAGTTTACATATGTATCGGTATTAACAACAAAACAAAGTGTCAACTTTCCGACCGTCAACATCACCTCTTTTCTTTCTCCCTCATTCTGTTTGTTGTGATGCGAGAACGGCGCATTGTCGCAATATTGAACAGCTGAGTGCACAATTTTAGCCCATCAATAACACACACAATAAGAGCAGTAAAACCAATTTATGGTTCATTGCCTGTTAGATCACATTACGCAACTGGGAGAAAAACGGGACATCAACACATTTATGCAATGCAAAGCGCACCTGTGGATCTCTATGGCAACCGTACACAGACGGCGCGAATGAGGTCACTCCACCATTTTGGTGACGTCACGCCGTGACCCACGAACAGAAGAGAGAACACATTTCTCGTCGTGTAATAGCCATATGCATGCGGAAAGAAAATAGCTGGATTTTATGTGATTTAAACTGCTGTTTTAGGACTTACTAATCGACCATGCCACTCTTTGGGAAAAAGAGTGAAAAGCACAAGTGTATAGGAGCTAAGTACGAGCTGAAGGAGGATGAAGTGCTGGGAACGTAAGTAAAAACCCAAAATGAGGAGAGAAAAATTTTGCAAGCCGACTGTCAGTGACACAGTCGCAGGCCGAAAATGACCATTTGTTGTCTTCGTACATGTCACGCAGTTCCACACGAAACTAATTATCTGCTAGGTCTGTCTGTGAAGCAGAGGTGGAATGTTGCACTACTGTCTCTTTTTGAGGAGTTACTCGTGGATGTTATGATGTGAAATGAACTGTGTGGTAAATAATATAGAAATGTAATATGTATGTTACTTAATACAATATCAATGGACTTCAGGCTAAAAACGAGACACGTTTGTCATTAGCTCACTTACTTCTAACCAGCGACTTAAAAACAACATTAGTGCTGTTTGCATTCGTCATGTATTGCACACACCAAGTAAGGGCCATTCCGTGGTATTTGGTCCGCAGACCTCAAAATTTCAAAAAGGAATCCTACTTATAAAACTTATAATTTCTGAAACCAGACATCATAAGACACCAGAATCCAAAAGAAATTTTAGGTTTTGATGATTAATTATGATTTTATTGACACTTTTATCTGGAAAACTTATAAAATAGTGTCACGGAAGGACATTTCTNACCCTCCCTCCTCCTCTCTCTCTCTCTCTCTCTCTCCCCCCCCCCTCTCTCTCTCTCTCTGTCTCTCTCTCTCTCTCTCTCTCTCTCTCTCTCTCTCTCTGTTCCTTCCTGTTCAGGCACGGCGCGCAGTCTTCCATAGTTCATACGCCATCTTCACTTCCTCCAACACTTCCCCTGCAAGCATTGGTGCGGGAGGAGAGAGACGACAGGGAGTGCGGTGCTCTGCACATCGTTGCTATTTTTACTGCTTTTACATAACTTTAAATTTGTTGAAACTTTTGCTTCGTCTGTTATGTTCAATTAACACGCGAACACGAAGATTATGCGTAATCATAATGTCAAACTCCATTTGATGTGGTTAAAAAATGCATTCTAAGTAATGAGTATAACTTGAACAAGTCCTGCACCCATTATACACGTTGGGTCCGAGAACTTGACAAGAAGAAATTGTTTTTGAAAACCTATATAATAATTTGTAAGGTATTTTAAGTGCAAAATTAACGCCGGGTAATATGTTCGAGGAACACTGATAAACTTTCGTGGAAATTTCGATTTTCCATTATTTTGTCGCACGCAAATGGCCTGCAGCACGACATCAGTTATTACATAATTTTTAGTAGCCTCTTTGACCCCATTTCCAGAGATTAGATCGATCTACTTTAGACCGACCTAACTCCCTGGGGGTTCACGCTAAATAGCTGTCAGCCGGGCGGACACGAAAGTTAATTTCCCCCTTACAGCTTGTAGTAGGCGGGACGGACATTTAAGCCGGATTATCTGACAGTAATCTAGTGAGACTCCCTGCGGGGATAGATCGATCTAAAAGCTCTGGGAATACAGCCTTAGTGTATATTTACAATCCCAACAGCCACTCATTGGCATTCCCAATTTTCACTTTTTATTCTGAAATTAACTATTTAAAACTAATTTTTAAAAAAGAAACTAAGGTGCAAGTGCAATAAGAAGAAAACTCTTCCCATGAGCCGCGTGAACGATTGGATCAAACTCGCCTGCAGCTGTGGCCAGGTGAAGTACTGTTTGTTGTTGCGTTTTTTTCTCCGACATGACACCGGTCACTCTGGCATCCCTCACACATCAGGAACGCTGTCACAGGTCGCTGTGACCATATGACGTCCCCGACATGTCGCTGTCACGCACACATTTTAACTCTCTCGCCAAGGTATATAAAAGGGCACATTCTTGTCCGCTTAAATAATTCTTCTTTAGCTAATAGAGTCCCTGTTCATTTGTGCACGTTTGAAAATGTAATGTGGTTATTTTGAAGTCCTTGTGATATATTACCTATGCTGTATATATTACCTTTTAATGACATTTGTCACTACTAGAACGATTATGTATTTTGATCAACTAAGACAGTAAAACACTCTTTGAACTAATATAGCGGATGTAGAAGGCCTAAAGGTTCCATGCTGACTGCAAACTTTCATTCTCTCTCATAAATGATGTAGTATATTTTGGTAAATATAATTGTCCAGTATTTCGTAGGTGTAAAATGTTTTTGCGGAGGGACAAAAAAGAGGTGATTTAAAACCATGTAGAATGGAGAGTGAACAGTTAGAATACATGCAATGATAGATTTGAAATCAAGCTTGATGACATCATAACAACTACAACCCGTCACCAACAACTCTACAAAAAACAATATGTTTTAAGACAAAAGTGAGTGTTGCATACACTTAAAACTGACCGGATATCTGCATGTCCGTAAAACAAAGACAAAGGAAACAATATGGGAAAAAAAGGTATTTGAAACAACAGCGAAAGCATCTAGCATCTCCGCTGACATTTCAAAAACCAGATCATCGCCGGCGTTTCATACCATTCATATGACAGCGCGCGACGCAGTGGTGACAGTTGGCAAGAATATTTCTAAGCGCCAAATAACATATATCGTTGTCATGTGTGTGTCCTTGATGTCCAGTCTTTATTCCTTTTTGGAAAAACCAACGTGCGGTTCTAAATAAGAACCGACATACATACTGTATATTGAGTCCTAGGTTATATGAAACTTATGCCTTGCTCTTCTTAAAAGAGAGAAAAAAATACTAAAATCAGTATGGTGCAAATAATCAAAATACGACTGAGAAAAGGCTCCACCCCAAGATATCCCATTGTTGTGGCCTGTATTTCTTGTGCATGGTCAAACACACAGGGTTGAGGAAAAATAAAATCTAACAGAAATGTGCAAAACCATCCTCAGGCCGCTACTGCAGTAGATATAATTTCGCTTGCCAGCTACGGCACGCTGGAATTACTGTGGAGCATTCGACATCCCAAGACATGAAGAGCTGTTCGCATTTTCTACTGACGTTAATACTAGTACCCTACACATACAGTGTTCCACATTTTACGAAATTAACCACCCTGAAATATTGGCGTATTAATTTGTGTAAAAAAGTAACACCCTGGACACGAACTCGTTAGTCAAATGGGCCTATGCCTGCATTTTTCGTTTTTAAAAAAGAGGCCTAAAAGTAGGCTTATGAATATTTTAAAAACAGAGCAAACGCTTCGCGATTCAGGGTGTAGCACCCAATTCTATGACAGGGAATTTTGAACAAAATAAAATCTAAATTTAATCTGCAAAACATGTTTGCAATCTTCTTTTGAATGAATGACAAAAGCGAGAAAATATCAAAAACGCGATGGAACTCACTACAACAGAGGCCTCGCACCAACATGTCATTCTTTTGATCTTTTATAATTGATAGGTATTTTAATATAGACCTAGGATTGTTGAGAATGCATTGAGGACAGAGGTCAGAAAAAGAGAGGAAAACAGTCCCAGGGAAAATAAGTAGACCTACATGTAGGCCTAATTAATGTGATGGCTGTAGGATTTCTACATACCAGTAGACATACGAGCGTATAACAAGGAGGTCTCCTACATGTAAAAACCTGAGAAAGGACCGCTGAAGGACAGCCAAAAGGAATAGGCGTACGTGTAAACCAGTCTTGTCTTATCAATTTTCTCTCTCATAAGTCACACGGTGAAAATAAAGTTTACATATGTATCGGTATTAACAACAAAACAAAGTGTCAACTTTCCGACCGTCAACACCACCTCTTTTCTTTTCCCCTCATTCTGTTTGTTGTGATGCGAGAACGACGCATTGTCGCAATATTGAACAGCTGAGTGCACAATTTTAGCCCATCAATAACAAACACAATAAGAGCAGTAAAACCAATTTATGGTTCATTGCCTGTTAGATCACATTACGCAACTGGGAGAAAAACGGGACATCAACACATTTATGCAATGCAAAGCGCACCTGTGGATCTCTATGGCAACCGTACACAGACGGCGCGAATGAGGTCACTCCACCATTTTGGTGACGTCACGCCGTGACCCACGAACAGAAGAGAGAACACATTTCTCGTCGTGTAATAGCCTTATGCATGCGGAAAGAAAATAGCTGGATTTTATGTGATTTAAACTGCTGTTTTAGGACTTACTAATCGACCATGCCACTCTTTGGGAAAAAGAGTGAAAAGCACAAGTGTATAGGAGCTAAGTACGAGCTGAAGGAGGATGAAGTGCTGGGAACGTAAGTAAAAACCCAAAATGAGGAGAGAAAATTTTTGCAAGCCGACTGTCAGTGACACAGTCGCAGGCCGAAAATGACCATTTGTTGTCTTCGTACATGTCACGCAGTTCCACACGAAACTAATTATCTGCTAGGTCTGTCTGTGAAGCAGAGGTGGAATGTTGCACTACTGTCTCTTTTTGAGGAGTTACTCGTGGATGTTATGATGTGAAATGAACTGTGTGGTAAATAATATAGAAATGTAATATGTATGTTACTTAATACAATATCAATGGACTTCAGGCTAAAAACGAGACACGTTTGTCATTAGCTCACTTACTTCTTACTAGCGACTTAAAAACAACATTAATGCTGTTTGCATTCGTCATGTATTGCACACACCAAGTAATAGGTATATACTAGTAGTAGAAGTAGGCAAATCCTTTCCCTCTTTTTATCAACATTTGTCATTGCCAGTGGTGTATTTTCAGGGGCCAGTTGTCATTCTTGTTAGATATATGGTTTGATGTTTGGTTATGATTAGACTGTGTGTTTGTGGATAGATTCCCAACTCCCTAACAATACATCAGTGAAATTATATGGTTTTCGGTCGCCATGCATATAAGCTGAGGTTGTAATGCAAGGTAGAAATTATATGTAATCGTACTATGCCAATATTGTCCTGTGATATACAAGATCAGTACCTACCCTTTATTATATCATATGCTCATTACTTAACTTTAGCAGTTGTAATTATGTGCAGCAAGGCAAAAAATAAGTTTCGTGCTTTCAAGGAAACGATCAAGCTCATATTTCTTATCGGCTTATCAACACACACTTCTGCTCTGATTCTGTTATTTCTCAAATCAGGATCTGTGGTATACCATTGTATTACATATACATACGGAGTGCCCAGCAAGAAATATGGAAAATGATGGCAGACAGACACAGGTTCTGTGTAAAAAGAACCAGAAAACCCATTTGTGACAGGCATCTTTCATGTTGGGAAAATAATATTAAAATGACCATTAACAGAAGATGTGTAACAGGATACAAACAGCTACAGGCTAAGAGAATTGATGTGGTAGATTAATTGCGTCGAGACATTTGCATAATTAGATGAAATGCAGGTATGCATTAATACATGTATAATTGATTTTACATTCCACATGAATACACAGCAGTTATTGTAAGACACATAGAATAATGTTAATCTGCCCCCCCCCCCACCTCCTAGGAAAGAGAAAATTAAAAAAGAAAACTTATGCACCTGTATCTAAGCTAAGACATCAATTGTTAAATGACTGTCCTCAATTTTTTCGAGATTTGAGAAAGACAAGAATGTCCCGGCTGTAAACTTTGCTGCGTCTGTCTGGCATGTCACTGGCTATCTTAGAATATGTGTGTATTGATGGCAAATGTTGCTAAAATAAGAGTGCGAGGAATCTATACAGATAACATATTGATGATATGTGGTGGAGGGTTGCCAGAGAGGCAAGGAGGGGTTACATGTGGCAAAATTTGGTGTTGGTGAGAACCTGGATCGTAATTGTTGTTTGTGAGGAAACAAAACAATACAGTTGATTGTGAATGGATATTACATTGCTAGGTTATTTTTTCACAGATATACTGTATGTAAAATAAAGCAAACGAGGCAGCTTGATTATATAAATGTACTTATATAAGTTCGGTTTGAGTTGGAAAACATTTTTGACACACTGTAGATGTGCCCTTTAAAGGAATACAGAAATCTAAAAAACAGAAAAAAAGATTCAGGCACAATATCACAAGTTTGTATGCAATCAGAGTGGAGGCAAGATCAGTAGAACTGCTTCTCCCTGTCTAAACTTGCCTTTGCCACAGTAGTTAACATAGAACTCCAGTCATCAGGTGCTGGGTGTACACTCACTGGGGTGTTACATGGTGAACTAATGCTCAAGATCATCAACCATATGTAAAGAAAATACAGGTCTTATGTGTTTAATTGATTATCTGCCAGGTCAATATTGATAGAGTTAAAAAATTAGCCATTTGGCTGAAACAAAGATATGCCAGAAAATAATTCATTTTACCTGGTTTCTGTATTATCACATAACATATCAACTACAAATTATTAGTGGGTTTTAACAAAGAAAATTGCCCCGTGGCTGTAAGACACAAATTGACCACCCCATCTGCCCATTCTATGGGGGCACTTGACCAGTTAACTCCAGTATGGTCTATGATTGGATTAGGATGGTGTCAGTGCACTTTGCCATCAGTGAGTGCATTACGCCAGCAAACAGCTGGGTATTGATATTACTTTTCCCCACTGGGCCTGGCATATTTGAATTAATGATTTCAAATTAGATATCTTGGGGCCAGATATGTTGGGCAGCTTGGTATGAAATATCAGGCATAGAGAGACGAAATTTATTTGCTTTAGATACTTATGTATTATCATTGTATATAAATGTAATGCCAAGTGTTAAATAATGAGACATAATAATGGTTTTATTACAAATAAACTTAATTTATAATACAAAAATTTCTTAATAAATAAACAAATTATGATAGATATATTGATAAATTAAGAAATAAGTAGATAACTAAAAGAGGAGAAAAAGGAAATGTTTCTTCAGCGAATTCAGTCTAATTTAGCCATTGTTAAAATGTTTTCTTAACATGAAGCACTACATCCCTGTTAGCTCTGGGGATAAAAAAGATCCCACTGGAAAAACAAATATCCACCTGATAAGCCATGTTAAAGTGACTGGAACGAAAATCATTCGAGGTGTGTTTTGACCTTCCAGTTGAGGTTTTCATTGATTGGGGGCCATAGTTGCCAGTGTGTGGTTTTCACCTGTTGATGCAGTGACTGCTGAATTTTACATTTGTGACCACCAATACAATTAGTCTGTCTGTTTTCGCTGACACTGGGCATCAGGGATGACTTTCGTCACATTCACATCCAAAGTTGATCCATGGAATAACAGATCTTGGGATCAGATATGGCCGATCCACTTAAAGGCTTGCTGCGTAAACTTAACTTGGAATCTATTCAGTTTCTGTTAGGGGACCATGCGACAAGCTTTCGAGTGGGTTGGCGGTATTTGTTAATTCTTGGATCAAATGGTAATGAATGGGACCTTAAACAGTGATACAGCTTAACATACGGAGGTAAAAATTGGGTGCTGAAAAGCACTTAGTTGGTAAAACAGTTGACAGTGCTGTGAAAAGCCTATGTGATGTAAACCTCTTGAGTCATTGTATATTGGTCATTGAAGTAAGGACTGCTGGTGTGTGTGTGATTATGGAGTTTGCTTAATCATTGTGTACAGCTAAACATATTGCGATTCCCATTAGAGACTGCAGCTACTGTGTGTGGTGCATGTAAAACCCTGTGACTGTGACCTTCTGTGTTATACATGTGATAAGTGTTGACAGTGGCTATCGGTCAAAAAGTAAACACCAATTTTTCATTCTTAAGTTGATCTGAAGTCATTCAGCGAAAAAGGGCAGTTTTTGGTGCAGCGTCCATGCCTTTTATCCAGCCCAGATTTATCATTTTCTGTGGGGTGTCATCAACATGTCATAGTTTGACATGATAAGGGGTACATTGTCATGTCCCATTGCTCAAGGCCATCTTGACATTGTCTTATCTCAAACCTGGAGGTTTTGTTTATAATACGGAAAATACAGTGCTCTGTTTATATATGTTAACACTAGGAGGGAGCTGACCATTGTAGGACAGCTGATACCAGCCGTACCATGTCCAGAGTAGACTAATGTCTAGAAATTGATGTGCCATGACATGTCCTTGGATTGTGTTGTCATACTCTTATTCTTTTTATGGCTGTCTACTGTACAGTTAACATGAAAGAAATCTTTCTGTAAGCAATTACTTGGCTCATGATAGAGATACACCTGGTCTAAAGAAAGCATGACAAGAATGACAGCACTATGAATCTAGAAGTGTTTAATGTAGGTCAGGTTAATTGCTGTCATTATGATGTCATTATTTCCACAAGTCCAATAAGAAATTGATTAAGTGCAGTTTCCCATCTTCAACTAGCTTGAAAACTGCTGTCATTTCATATAGACCACAGTAGGGTAAAAACTTGAAAATTTCTTCACTTAAAAATCAATTAAAATTTTAAAATGCATTTTCATAGTGAAAACAATTATGTCAGTGGAGCATTGTCTTCTGATAAAATTTTCAAGACCAACTAAATTTTCAAGTTTTTACAGTACATCATGTGTTGCATACAGTCGGGGACAAAGAAAAGATAATAAAGCTGTTTGCTTGTCTCAGTCTGGAACTAAATGCGCCATGCATATTGTGCCCACGTAGTGGTGGCCGAACTTATGAGAAATGGAATTACATCCAAGCCTGTGCTTAACAAACTGATGAATATTGATCAATATTTTGATCAGGTTGAGGCTCGGTAACATTCAGCTAAGTTTGCCATTATCTCTCCATGTATTTCAACAAAATCGGGATAAAAGGTTGATAGGGGGGGGGGGGATGAAAAAAGCTCCTCGCTGCCATGGCAGACTAGATGCAGGTGTTGGATCAGTTTTGAAGCTACTACCAGAGCTACCGAAACCTTGGCCTGCATGAGGTAACTGTTCTTCTTTAAAAAAACTATTTTCAAGCATCTGCTTAGAGTTTGAGCCCAATATTACTGACATTTTTTTGTCTCAGTTGCAGGCTTTTCCTGATAAGGCAGGTATTCCCCATAGACATTGGAGGCTGTTGCTCCTGTAATCCTATGCCCACCTCTCTCTCGGTTTTCAATTTGGTTGTAATCAACTCACAGGAGTCTTGGGAGGATTTTTTCTGTACACTGGGGTAGTGGGACTAAGATAGCTATCTGTGTTCACTTAAATCATATTGGAAAAGAAGAAAGAAGTGACATTTAAAATGCCTAAGCACACTGAAAACTTCAGAACTTTGCTAAATTTGTTGAGAATTTTTGACATTTTAACTTATTGCTTCTTTTTATGGTTTTTCAAAGTTATGTAATAAAAAAAGGGAA